GGAGATAATTTTGGGAAGCAGAAGATGAATTCTGTCAGCAAGAATTCTAGTGTTGATCTTGCTCATAAAAGTGGATAAGAAGATGGGTCTGTAGTCATTGAATGCCTTGGGGTTATCTGTTTTAGGAATAAGACTTATGAAGGTACTCCCATAACATTTAGGCACAGGAATCCCAATGAAAAATTCCTGAGTAACACTGATGACATCCTTTTTGATTGTGTTCCAGCAGGTTCTGAAGAAGCAGCCATTGAAGCCATTTAGACCGGGGGCACTCCCAGGGTTGAGAGACCAAACAGCCTCTCTAATCTCATCTTCCAGAGGTAATTTGCAGATATTCTCATTATCTGCGTGTGTTACAAAATTCTCCAGGAGTTCTAAGCTGGGCTCCATATTAATATGATTGCTAGAGCTAAAGATATTTGAAAAATGTTCAATAGCTATCTCATTTATAGAGTCCATGTCATTGACACTCCTGCCATCAATATCTTGGATAGTTCTAATCTTGGATTTAGATCTCTTGTCTTTGACATAACCATCAAAGAATTTTGAGTTGCAGTCTCCTTCTGAAATCCATTTGATATTAGCCTTCTGTTTCCAGAAGCTCAATTCATTATTAGTGGCAATTATAAGCTGAGCTCTGCATTTGTTTTCTTCTTCCCTCTTTGTAGGGCTGGGGTCTTTCTCATATTCAACCTGAGCAAACCTGGCTTTATCTTCAGCTTCCATAAGGTTAGAGAAAATATTTCCAAAAGTTTCAATGTTCCACTTCTTTAAGACTTGTTTAAGCCCCTTGAGTTTGAGGCCCAGACCAATCATACCTCCATAATTGTGATTTTTGCTCCAGAAATCATGAACCAAGTTATGGAAAGTGGGATGGTTGGTCGAAGAGTTAATGAATCTGAAAGGTTTTGGCCCTCCTTTATCTTCTTTAGTGCATTGTAGAAGTAGGGGTTTATGGTCAGAAGTAGCTTTGCTGATGTGCTTTACAGAGATATCATCATAATGAACCAGAATTTTGTTGTTCACCAACACTCTGTCTAGCCTCCTGTAGACCATACCATTCTTCCTTCCCCCAGACCAAGTGAAGGCAGAACCTATAGTTGGGGGGGTAGTGAGATCACAGGATTCCATGCACTCTTTGAAATCAGCCATATCTGATTGCTTGGGGAGGTTCGTGCCTTTGTGTTCTGACCATTCTGCTATAATGTTGAAATCCCCTCCAACTACACACTGACATGCAGGTGATTGGAGTGAATTCAGATCCTGCCACAGTTTCCTCCTTTCTGAGCCAGAGTGCTTACCATATACAGTGGTAATTCTTATTTTCTCCTTTGTGTCATTAATAGTGAAATCACAGTTGAGAAATTGGTCCCCTTGAGAGCTGTTGTTGAAACATAGGGCTTTCTCATGCCATAACACCCATATTTTATTAGAGGTAGAGCCAAGGAAATTAGAAAAACCCATTTGCTTGCTGTAGAAATGAATCTGGTCAGCTGAAACAATGGGTTCAATAACTGCAAGGAAACAGAAGCTATGATTTTTATTCAACACCTTGATCCTTTTGAGAGAGGACATAACTCCACAAACGTTCCAAAATAGCAAAATCATTTAAGGCTATGAAATATGAAGTCTTTATGCCCTTTGTGGCTTCTGGTGATCATACTTGTAGAAGGGCCTATCCTCTTGGATGTGTTTTTTTTGGATTGTTATTGAGATTGAGTTGGATGCAGGTATTTGGAAGGCCCTAAGAGTTAATGCAGATTGATCAAGAATATCACTACTTTTTCCACCCTCAGAGTGGTATCCATAATCTCTGGTATCTGTCACCATCTCCTGCATATTGGTATCATGGATTTCCTCAATAAGCATGGCAAGTCGTTTCTCAAATGAGTGATTATGAAGACAGTAATCAAATGAACCTTTCCTTAGCTGATCTTTTGCCATTCCAGTACTTACTGTAGCTTTGGAAGTAACAGGTATTTTTTTTGAAGCAAAGGCTTTTGCTTCAAAAAGGGATGGAAAAATTGGGTTGTACTCTTGCTGTGGGGAGTCGGACGGATTGGTAAGATTAACCTTGTCACCCAATAATTCACTCTCCACATTACATGGTAATTCTCCAGCATAAATATCCAATAGGTCCAGCAACATGAAATTATTGGTGTTTTGGTTCACATATCCTTTCTTTTTCCATTCAAAGATGGTGGGGCCATGTCTGACTGTATTATTATTGTTCTCTGATTGACTGGGTGCCCTGTTTCCATTTGTCTTTTTGCTCTTGATTTCCACCCATCCATTCTGATACTCAGGAGATATGCCCGTCTTACCCTTGCCGGAGGGAGCTTTTCCGGTGGGTAAATGGTGTTGGTTTAGAGCATGAAAATCATGCTTGTGACCAAGCTTTTTTCATAGGGTGTAGTACAGAGGTCTATCTTCATACCCACAATTGGTAAATATGTCCCGAGCACCAAGTCTGATGTGAATATTGGGGGGAGGGGGGATGGATAAATCTATCTCAATACACACCGTACCCTTGCACTTTCCCTCCTATCTCTACTGACTGTGAAATCATCCATTCTTACAGGTCTCCCCAATAATGAACTAATGGTGAAAAGAGACTGGAAGTCAATGAGGTGAGTAAGAAAGGTATATTTCTAAACAATAACTTATAATAATCATAAGAGGTCTTGGGTGGATATACGTTTGGACCAAAATTTTTATATTACTGTTGCCCTATCCAAGCGTAGAACCCAACATTTTCACCTCGCTTTGCCGGTACCCGTCAGCAAATGGTACGTAGGTACCGGGTGGGTGATAGGCCCTATCGCCAGGTCGGTAGAGACTACCGTGATAGCCTACCGATGGGGTACTCCAACTGCCACGGACGGTACCCACATACCGTGGGGACGGTACCCTGGTACCGTGGGGTCGGAACCCTCTACCGCCAAGGGTACCGTGAGGTACTTGAACCGGTCTGAAATGTCTATTTGCGTCGAGGATCAATTCCTTGACTTTATGTGTTGCATGACGGTAAACATGGGTGTCATTACCCAGTGTTAGGCCGCTGTCTGAGTATGTTGGATGCGATGAATGAAGTGGCATGAAGCATGAATGTGTATGTTGTGATTTATTGATAATTAAAGGATGAAATACCTAGAATGAACTCTAGGAGCTGACCTGAATGGATTAGTGGCAAGTTATGCCATAAGTTAGTAAGTTAGAGTCATGTGGTACCTGCTGGGTCCAATGGTTGTCCGGGAAAAAATGTGTACATGGGGATCTTAGAACTGTCGTTCCAAAAGGGACAAGGATCTCACCCACCCAACGAGGAACTCCCGAGTTGGTTTGAGCTTAACCTTCGTTCTGAAGGGGAAGGTCATGACCCCCATAGACAAGTCGTATACAGTTAAGCTTTAAGCTTGCATAGGTTGAAACCTAAGTACAGGAAGAAAGTAAAGTAAAACAAGAGGAAAGAACCCATTATTTTATCCTGAATATTGTATCTCTTGAATGATGAGATTACTGTTATATGTGACGTATCCTATGTGTTGACATGATTGTGTTAAGCATGTTGTGTGCGTGATATTGCATGAGGATATGGGCTAGTGGGATCATTTATGGGTATAGCTATATGTTAGATATTTCTCACTTAGCTTTAAGGCTGAGCGTGTAACCCTTTTTCCTATTTGCTACACGTATGTAATCAAGGGAATGATGAACTTGGAGCCAACCCCGGAGGGTGATGAGGAGGCTGAGGTGTGCGTGGCAGTGCTCGATTACTTTGAACTCTTATTTATTACTAAATAACTTATTAATTTCCAAAACCGATTTGATTATTACTCCGATGGATATGGAATTATGTTCTGAAATGTTATTTAAATTTTTTTTGAAAAGTTAAATGGTGTTTGGATACCAATTTAGTAGCAACCCGGTTCGCTAATCCGAGTATTCGGGTTATGCGGGTTGGGGTGTTAAATGAACCTCAGCCCCTGTGTAAAAGAGGCTTTTGTTGAGATTAATTTGGTGTCCAGACGCTGCAAGAAACATATTCAAAAGTCCCTTGATTTTTAATGTATTCCTGTAATGGCCATTAAGAAAAAATGATAACATCCGCATAAGCTAAGTGTGAAGAAGGTGGAGTTTTTCCCATATTGAAGTCTTTGAGAAATCCCTCAGCAACTTTAGTTTTGATCATTCTGCTTAAACCCTCACTGCCAAGGATGAAGAGCAAGGGAGAGAGGGGGTCCCTTGTTTAATTCCCCTCCCCATTTTGAAGAAGCTTTGAGGGACACCATTAATGAGAATAGAGAAGTGTGTGGCCTTAAGTGTTGCCAGGAGAAGGTGACAAGAAGTAGGGATGAACCCAAAGGAGAGCATAATCTATTCAAGGTACTTCCACGAGAGCCTATCAAATGCCTTCGACAGATCTATCTTAATAGCTACATTGGCACTCCCTCAGCTATTATCCAAACAATGGATCATTTCCTGAGCCAATTAGATGTTCTCTACCACCCCCCTACCTGCCTGGAACTAACTTTGTTCAGGACTGATGAGTTTAAAATCTTGGTGTTAATTTTGGAGAGGAAGTTTGAGAGTGAGATAAGTCTATAATCCCCCAGGGTTTTAGGGTTGTCCTCCTTGGGTTTCAAGATTAGTAATGTGGCTCCATAGGATTTAGGGACTGGTAGGCCCAAAATATTTTAAAGAAGACTCAATTATAACCATCTAGGCCTGGAGCACTGTGTTCATTTAAGTCCCAAATTGCTCTCTTGACTTCCTCCCCTTGGGGTAGTGTACAGACAAGCTTGTTGTCCTCTTCATTGATATGTTTAGGGATGAAGCTAAAGATGTGTGAGTCATCAGAGACATAATCTTCTTTGTACAACTTGGAGAAGAAGTTAAGTGCATGAGTAGCTACTTCTGTTTTGTCCTCCAAGATCTTCCCTTCATCATTTTTGATAGAGGAAATTTGGAGCCTTAACCTTTTCCCATTAACCAAATTGTGGAAAAACTTTGAGCTAGCATCACCATCCTTAATCCATTTGACACCTGCCTTTTGCTGCCAGGATTCTGATTCCCTTTTAGTAAGTAAAAGTAACTCGGCATTTGCCTTGTAAGCAGCCACAAGGGAGTCAGGTGATGGGTAGGCTTCATAGGAGGTTTGTGTTGTCTGGGCACAAGCTTCAGCATCCTTTAGGTTTTGAAAAATATTCCCAAAGATCTCTCTATTTCATTTGTTAAGGACTGACTTCAGCTCCTTCAATTTATTTGCTACCCTTGAATTCCATTATAAGTCTTGTTGCTATCCCAAAAAGATTGGATCGTAGCTTCTAGTGAGTGATGAGAAGTCCACATGTTCAGAAACTTGAAAGGTTTATGACCAGAGAGGGAGCTAAGGGAATAATTCAGCAGGAGGGGTCTGTGTTCAGAGTTACCTTTGCATAACATTTCTAAGGAGAGGTTGAGAAACTGGTCAAGCATTGATTGGTTGCAGAAGGTATGGTCAAGTCTTCTCCAAACCTTTCCTCAACTCCGAGAACCACTCCAAGAAAAGTGTCCGCCAAAAGTGTCCGATCACAGTGAAAGGGCGAGTGACTTATTGGGCCTCATACACTCCGATGTGTGTGGTCCAATTAACACTGTTGCTAGAGGTCGTTATTCATACTTCGTTACATTTACTTACGACCTTAGTAGATATGGATATGTGTATCTCATGAAACACAAATCGGAATGCTTTGACAAATTCAAAGAATTCAGGAACGAAGTAGAAAAACAATTAGGCAAAAATATAAAGACCCTCCACTCGGATCGAGGAGGTGAATACCTAAGCCTGGAGTTCGATGACTATCTGAAAGAGCATGGGATCTTATCCCAACTCATGCCTCCGGGGACACCTCAGTTAAATGGAGTGTCTGAGAGGAGAAATCAGACTTTTCTTGACATGGTCTGGAGCATGATTAGTCTGACAACATTTCTAGAATCATTTTGGGGATATGCATTAAAAACAACAGCACACACACTCAACAGAGTTCCATCTAAAGCTGTCGAGAGCACACCATATGAACTATGGCGTGGGAGAAAACCGAGTTTCTCATACTTAAAGATTTGGGGCTGTGAAGTTTATGTAAAACGTCTCATGACGTCTAGTTAGTTGGAGCCTAAATCTGATAAAGTAGTTTTTGTGGGATACCACAAGAAAACTAGAGGGTATGAGTTCTATCATCCATCCAATAACAAAATTTTCGTTGCTCGGAATGGAACCTTCCTTGAGAAGGAGTTTCTTTCTACTATCACTAGTGGGAGAAAGGTAGACCTCGAAGAAATTCGAGAACCACAAGAAGAATTCCCGATAGTCTTGGAACCTGAGCAAAGAGATCAAGCAATTGAACCTCAAATTGCTCAAGATATACCACATAGGTAAGACTGGATACGTAATCCTCCGGTCGGATATGGATTTCTCATGTCTGATGAAGGTGACGTTTTGTTGGTAGATCAAGGCGAACCAGAAACCTACCTTGAGGCAATTCCATGCCCCGAATCCGATCTATGGCTTGAAGCCATGAAATATGAAATGGAGTCTATGTACACAAACCAAGTATGGACCTTGGTTGATGCACCTGAAGGGGTAAAACCCATTGGATGCAAGTGGGTGTTCAAAAAGAATATAGACGTAGACGGGAAGGTTCATACCTTCAAAGCTCGATTGGTAGCAAAAGGTTATAGGCAAATCCATAGAATTGACTATGATGAAACCTTTTCTCCAGTTGTTATGCTGAAATCCATTCGGATAATGTTTGCGATTGCAGCCTATTACGATTACGAAATTTGGCAGATGGACGTCAAAACGGCTTTCCTTAACGGGAACCTCAAAGAGGATGTCTTCATGACACAGCCTGACGGTTTTCAAATTGCTGGTCAGTCTGCCAAACTTTGTAAGCTGCAACGTTCAGTATATAGATTGAAACAAGCATCTCAGAGTTGGTACATACACTTTGACGAAACCATTTCCAGTTTTGGTTTCGAGAAGAACTCTTACAAATATTGTGTATACAAGAAGGTCAATGGGAGTGCAATAGTATTCCTAGTCTTATATGTCGATGACATATTGTTAATGGGTAACAATATTCCAGCTCTCACTTCTGTGAAGACGTGGTTGAGCGAGAACTTCTCCATGAAAGACTTAGGGGATGCTAGTTATGTCCTTGGCATAAGAATCTATCGAGATTGATCAAGAAAGTTAATAGGTCTGAATCAAAGTATATATATAGATAAAATCCTTGATCGATTTAGCATGTCTAACTCAAAGAAAGGATCTTTAGCTATGAAACCTGGCACGGTTCTTTCCAAGAGCTAGAGTCCTTCTACTCCCGAGCAGAAGGAACTCATGATGAAGGTTCCATACGCCTCTACGATTGGATCCATCATGTACGCCATGATATGTACTAGACCTGATGTCTCATTCGCTTTAAGCGTGACCAGCAGATACCAAGGAAGTCCAGGAGAAGCACACTGGACAGCGGTCAAGAACATCCTCAAGTATCTTTGCAGTACTAAGGATGCATTCCTGGTATACGGTAGTGAGGAAGAGCTATGTCTGCAAGGCCCACGCCCGTGTAATAGCCCTTCCACTAAATCACCGTAAGAATTACACAATCAATCACAACAGAACCTTCTAATGTATTGATTTGTCTACTTACGAATGACTTGACGATAAACTCGGTTTGCGTCTATCTCCACGGCTTGTTACACCTTCTCAAAGATCTTCTTCAAGGACGTAGATTCCAGTACACCTTCAAATAAAGATCCTCCTTGATCTACAAAAATATGTGGGCTGTTCCGAAGCTCATAAATCGAGATTGAACAATTGAAATTCGATCTCCACCGTTCAGATTGAAGTTCCACGAGTCCTTAGACTCCTCCTAAAAGTTCAGCACGATCGGACAAGATTTGGTACTCCGATCATCAACAAACCAGGGCTGCATTTTCTGCAAAAAATCAGCAACAATGTGTAGATTGTAACTTCGATAACAGAAGATCCGTAACTCCGATTGACGTTAATGTTGAACACGTTGAAGCCCGATGTGTTGGGAACACTTTCTGAAACTTTCAGCAAAATCCAACGGTCGGATCTCCGGCGATGATCAAAACCGGGCAGGCTGTCCAGAATATTTGCCCTATCAAACTCTGCACCTTGTTCTTCCTATTTTCGGATTTGCTTCAATAGTTTGATATTTTTCCACCACACAACTCTAAGGGAGGGAGAAGATAATATATAGAGAATATTAACCTTGTTAGAGTGTGCTTAGGAGTCTCAACCATGCCTTCCTCCTCAAGAATAGTAAACCATGTAGGATTAGAATTCAAGTAGATTAGATTTCTCTCTTCAAACTCTTTCCTCTTTATCTTCCTTCACATGCTACGACTCTAAGTCTAAATAAAACATCTAAAATAATTCTAGATAAATCTATTCGTTTGTAAAAAAATAATGCCAACACAATATGGAACTAACAATATATATATATATATATATATATATATATATATATATATATTTTATATATAAAGAGAGTTTTTATTAGAATAGGATAAAAAAAAAGTACAGGGGTGGGGTGGCCTATATCCCCTACATTATGGCCCAGCCAGAGTATTCTTAAGATGAGTATACAAGCATATAAATGTGAAGGAGAAAAACAAAATATAAGGCTCCACTAGTAGAAAAGCTGGTCATCTGATTCCTTGTAGGTTCCTTGTGGTTGTGCTGCTTGTCCCACCTGTTTGACAGACAGCCTGCTCTGCTCATTACTGTCATTGCTTCATAGAAATTTTTACTGACTTCATGGAATCAACTTGTAGTGTTTTGGACCAATCTGCCGAGACTTCATTCTACTTTGTAGATACAATTTTCATTGTACTCTGCAGATTCTCTAGTGGAATTCTTGAAATGCTTTCCAACCGATTTCTCCATTAAACTCTGCAGATGCTTCAATTGGTAGCCTCTCCAAAGGGGGGTTTGAGTCCAAAGAAGAGAATGCGTATAGAAAACCCAAGACATAATATGATCAAGGCTTAAGCCAAAGGAAACTTGCAAAAAGCCAGAACGAAAGGTGAAAAAGAAGTAAAGATATACTAAGAGAGAGTAGAATAAAGTAAAGATTTAAGGCAAGTTGTTTTCTTCTATGAGTTGAATTCTTAGGCTGGCAAGACGGTTACTCCTTCTTGGTTTTGAGTGGGTTCCTCCTTGAAATTGTTTGCTCAGATGCTCAAATTTTGCAAGGTTCTTCTTATTCAGAGATGTTTTCCTAGCATGCCAATCCTCCCTACCTTCATTCTCTTCCCCATTATCAGTTTCCCATTCACTTTCTTCCTCTAAGTGTACCTGTTTGTTTGCATAGCCCATATGTTCAAAATCCGAGTCGTACGCTTTGGAGGTGCTCCAGTTGTTATCCCTTTCTATGTCGGACAGAGAGCAGCCCCTAAATGAGATGTTGGACTCCTTGAGAGCTGTAAGATTAGTAGTGGTTGGGTTGGAAGGTACAAATTCCAAAGCATTTGGTGAAAGGACTGAGGGAAGGGCTAAGGGCAGGGGATCAAGGCTGGAAGGGGGGTCATAAGCTTGAATTGGGGAATCAAAATTCCAGTGACAGACTTCCTGGCTGAAGATTAAGGACGAGAAGTACATAGAACAATCTGGGATATACTCATGGGGGGCACAAACCGTAGCATTGTCTAGAAATGGCAGAGGAGGTGGAATAACTGATTTAAGAAAATTTAGAACTATCTCAAATTTGGAAGCAAAAAGGATTATCCCTGTACCTTGATGGCCCTTTGGAATAAGGATATGTGAGATTCCCTGACTTCTTCGTTCAGAGAGTTGCAAGTAAGGGCCTGCAAAATTAGCCTTGAAGCAAATATGTAGTGATCTGTTAGCTTCCCTTTTAATAGGCGAGGTAATTGAACCATCAGTGATGAACTGTTTAAGGACTTGCAGCAGCCAAGAACACGCATCTAATCCCAACCAAAGATTATGTGTCTTCTTCTTGGATATTTCAGAAATACAAATCTTTTTGTTGAAGATTGAAGTAGTAAGCAAAAATTTTTTCTCAAGAATGTCAAAGACCACTGGGATGATATTTCTAGCTTTGGAAGACGAAAGGGTTGAGGGTTGAATACCGTGATGTTTAGGACAACCTTCTTCATCGTTGCTCGGTTTGCTGGTGTGATATTTGAGTAGATCGATGGAGTCATGTTTACCTATAACTGCGGAAGCATACGTTTGGAAGCCTGTGTAATGAGACGCACTCTTTGCCTGAGGTGGAGCCGATGAACACGTCCTGAAGTTCGCCGGAAAAGGTGTAATCGGCGGAACCGAGGAATCTCTCCTCTCTCTAGAAACGCCAGCCATTTTTCTATTATATATATTATACAATATATATATATATATATATATATATATATATATATATATATATATATCCCTCTATATATATAAATGTTAAATCCGGTTAGGTACCCATTAATTTTAAGGTTTTTTTCCATCCAAAATATTTGTACTCCTAAGCTTTAGTGTTGTACCATGTCATTTACTTCCCCAATATACCCCAGCCGTTAGAAACACCGTCAACCTTCAATTTTTCTTTTGCCGTATTCGTATCCATCCAAACACAACCCAGGCGAAAGTCCTAATTCATTCTCTTTATTCTATCTATCGAATTATAATATTAATGTTTTTTCTGCATTTTTAGTATTGTTTGTATTTGGATTAGTTGGATTATTTTGTTTGCTTTGTTGGATTTTTGAATAATGACAAATGCTTTGTTTATTTTATGGAATGATAAAATCAGCATTTTTTCCCAAATCAGATTCTTGGATCATCTTTTTTTGTTCCCTTGGATAACTGTATTTGCATAATTACATTACAGAATATCCCAAAACTATCTTTTCCAAAGCAAAGCAACACTTCCTTGACAAGGCAAATCACGTCTCATTGGAAGTGGTGTTTTACTCTTGTTTATTAGACTGGATTTTGGGTCTGGATCTGCATGTTGGCATTTGGCAGATTATGGGTTTGCTTTTAATTCTGGTTTGGGGGTTTTAGGTGTTGAGTTTGGGTCATGGTCTTGTTATTTGAGGTTAGGGTCTAGGTTCAGGTTTGATATTGGGAATTTGGATTAGGTAATGGGTTAGGATTCTTTTCTTGGTTTGGGGTTTGGGTGTGATTTAGGTTCTGGGTTTGGTGTTTGGGGATTGTTTTTGGTCTCGGTTTTGTGTTTGGATGTATATTTTAGCATTTGACAAATTTTGGATGGGTTTTGTAGGATAATTTTTGTTTTCCATTATTTATAGCAAGTTGGTGGATGAAAAGATATTGACATAGAAATTCGAGGGCTGCTTTTATGGTAGGTTCTAGGTTAGGGTTGGTGTTTTGTATTTGGGACTGGTTTTTGGGGCAGTTTTTTTAGTAGGTTTTGGGTTGGGTTTTAAGTTTTGGGGAGTTTGAGATTAATGATATAAGATTTGAAGTGGGGGTTTTGGGGTTTTGGGGTTTTCTATCAGGGTTGTCGGGTCACTAAAATTAATATTAAAAAGTCGTTGAAGAGAGACTCCCCATTGGGTCTGCTTTAGGATCATGAAATGGAGTTCAAAGACTTAACAAACAAAATAAACATTTTCATGAGGTGTTGGGAGAGAGTTAAATGATCCCTTCTGTTAGACTCTACATTTATATAATAAGAGGGATCTTATTCACAATTACAGCCCAAAGCTTTTCCTGGGATTTTGATACTGCTGCCTTGGCAGATTTTTCACTTTTGCTGATTGTGGGGATGCTTGATGGCTTGGGGTGGTTGCTTGAGTCATATTGCTGGCCATTTGGCTATTTTGTGATGGTTTACTGTTTAGCCCGATATTGCTTTTATTATTTGCTGAATATGCTAAGGCTTGGTGATTGATGCCTATTTGGCGATGGCTTGCTGGTGTTTGTTGATTAATTAAGGATTATTTGCTGATCTTTGTTGGTGATGAAACCTTATTTGTTTTTATTACTGATTAGTTGAAAAGTATTTTCCTATTATATTTGATAACTTATTTTAGAGTTGAAATTAATAACCATTCACAATGTACTACCCCTGTTTTAGTTGATTGGTTTTTATAATGTACAAGGGATGACAACAAAAATGATTACGCATATTAAAGACAACAAACTAGAATGGACGTGCAAGGTCAGGGTTGTGGAGAAGCGTAATATAAAAGATTCAGAGTTTAGTCCCAATAAGTATAGACCTTATATCTTGCAAGATCAAGTGGTAAGTGTAATATTCTCGTAATCGTACCAAAGAATGAAACCAAGTATAGTTATTCGATTAGTTTATTTATTTATTAATTTATGTACTCTATTAAACATAGGGAACAAAAGTTTTTGCCATGGCAAACAGCAGAGACATTGATCAAGTAGATCGAGTACTTGATTTGAATAAAACTTACAACATAAGTAATGCTGTTGTGTTGCCAAGTAAATATAATGTTCCTCCCCCATCGCCACATTACAAATATATCTGGATGCTTAGTAGGCAGACTTATATTGAGAAAGCCCCCGAATCAGATCAAATTGAAATATTAAATGGGCAAGAAGATACAGTAACAGCATTTTATGAGTTCTACAACCTTATCGGAACTAAGACTCCAATAAGTAAGTAATATATTTCAATTTATGTGTAAAGAAATCCACAGTTTTTGTATCGTAATTCATTTTTCATTATCCTTTTATTTAGATTTCATGGCCGTTGTTCTTGAAAAGATGCCTAGAGAATACATTTCAGTTCGTGAGACGGCAAAGACAGCATACGATTTCACAATTGTTAATGAAGAGTAAGGAATTTAACTCGTAATGCATTTTTAAAATTTGCTACATATAACCAACGGTTTAAATGATTCCTTGACTAGAATGAAACCAATGCTGCTGACGCTATGGGGCGATTTTGCCATTTATCAAGGGAAGCAAATCATATCTGTGTTGGATAGTGGACGATTTCCAATAATTTTGGGGAAGAGGGTTATTGTCAACAATTTTAATGGTAAAACATTATTTACCAACATACATATTTACCCAAGTATACTACATAATCATTGTTACATGCTAACGGTGTATAACAGGTGTTTCCCTATCTACTCGATTTGATTCCATATTTGAAGTCAATCCCACGAATTCAAAATCTGAAACTCTTAAAAAATGGTATAAAAGTACTACTATTCTTTAAAAAATTCTTCTTTACGCGTTAAAACGAATGTAAAACTTATAAATAACAATAACAGGCGAGATGATAGCATTGACCTTCTGAAGCGGTACATCGACCTGAAGACATATAAAAATGCCTTAATTGCGCTTGCATACCCTCCTGGCCAACTGAAGACCAAAGTTGTTGACATTCCTGAAATGAATATCCAGGTATGAATCATGGATCAGCACTACAATTCTGATTTTGAAAAAACATTCGTTACAACACGTAAATGTTTTAATGAATGTCTCCACATTTAGGAAAAAGGAGTTTGGGTGGAAGTAGATATGCGAATTATAGACGACGCTCCAAGTTTCTACATTGGCTGTGACTATTGTAATCGAAAAGTCTGTGGGCCAGAAGGGGGAAACTATAGATGTTTGGATTGTGGCAATCCTCATGCACGCGCCGAAAAGAAGTGAGTATTGTTAAATCGTTTATAATCAGCTAAAATGTTTAAATTACAGTTTACATTAAGTTATTCGGTCCATTTTTAGGTACAAGATTAAAGTTGAGTTGACAGATGAAACGGGACAAATAGTAGGAACAATTTTTGATGAAGATTTCAACCGCCTGTTGCAGATCACAAACACTATTCATCGATCACGATCAATTGACATTGCTAAACTTCAAGCAAAGCTTGACGAAAAGAAGTTTTTTTGTGAAGTAAGACTTGACAGAAGACAGTTCCCTGGAAAGAGCAAGCAGACTTACACTATAAATGGTGTTTGTGAAAATGTTAAGGTGTCACAGTCAGTGTCTGTACAAGGAAATGATGAGGGACCCAGTACGGAACGCAGTATTATAAGAACCTTAACCTTTGATGAGGCTTTGGAGGAGCATGAAGGAATTATAAATCCTGCCATTGAAGAAAGAAGCGGAGGAAATGATGAGGGAACGAGTATTGAAGGAAGTAATATAAAAACCTTGAGCTTCGATGGCGCAATTCAGCAGCTTGATGGGAATATAAATCCACCCCTTGAAGAAGGAAGCCCACAAGAAAAGCCATCCAAGAAACGCAAAACATGATCCTCTTAGGGTTTAACACTTAAAGTCTGTGTTTTAAATGATGTTTTGCAGCTTCTTTTGTTCACTTTTGTTTGAAACAGATGATGATCATTCCCAGATCTCTAGAATAAATAATAAATACTTTTCATGGTTTTGTTATTGTCAGTGAGTAAATTTATAGGTTTGTAGTTCATATGTGGCCACTTTTTTAGAAAGCTGAAACTTAGGGTATACTCTGCCCTCTCCCATTACGAGTTGAAATTGTCCAATCACTTTCAAAGATTACACTGAATATGCCTTTGTTTCATTTACGGTTACATTAATAAGCACTAAATTAAAGGGAAATGGATAGAGAAGAGTGAATGGAGAAACTTGATGTTATTACTGTTACGTAGACATATCTTTACTTATCCCTGTGAGTTGCGAAGGTTGCTACGTTCGGGTGTTTTTAGACCTTAGACACTCTCACAGCACACTATCATTTATGCTCCCATATTGAATTATATATGTGGTAATACCCTTGAGTTGTGAATTGTTGATGGTGATTCAACCATATGCTTGAAGTACAAAAGCGGAAATCAAGAATTGCCGCACAAATTTTATTGGAAAACGTACAACAAAGTCTTGATGAACTCTTCGTGATTATTAACCTTTAGGCTGTAGTTTTCTGGGCTTTCTTAATACCAAGCATGGGATGTCATAGGTAAATCCCCTGTCAGTAACTCAAACTCATAATGCCTCTGATGATAAGAAATGTAGGAGTAGAAAAAATATTCCTCTCTCATAGTTGTAGATGTCCATAGGACTTCCAGTATCAGCTGTGTCATTCTGGTTATATTATGATTTTTTATGCATATGGTTAGGGAAACTTGGGTGCACCTCAGGCAGCTCTTACTTTACTTTTAGCATATGAATATTAAACAAGGCCAAATCAATTATGTAATGATGCAGCAACAGCAGGCCAGTACCTGCAGTGAATAGCTTAAACAAATTAATGAATTAGGTATATATAATGAGTGGCTGTAGTGACCACGCTCAGACAATTACAAAATCATGTTCTATTATACCTTGCAGTGTCTCTCGTAACGAGAGTACAAATTTTTTTAACCTATGTATAATGTGTTCAAATTAAAGCACTTGGGGAAGTCCCTAAAGAGATGTGTGCCACCATTATTCTCAGCCCTAATTATAACGCTTCTAATGGAGGATTGATATTTGGTTTGTGTGGTTCATCTCCTGTATAATGTTTTGAGGTGTAGCTTGTGGGGAAAAGTTACAATATGTTTACTTTAAGGAGTAAACAATATAGCTTGTGGGGAAAAGTTACAATATAGCTTTTTGAGGTGTTAGTTTTTGAGGTGTAGCTTGTGGGGAAAAGTTACAATATAGCTTTTTGAGGTGTTAGTTTTAGTCATTAGTATAGGTCTAAGCTTGTTATACTCAAACAGGACACAAAGATTAAATTAGATTAAGACCGCTGAGTAATCCTGGAGCTGCTATTTTCATCTTGTTCCAGTGCATACCTGAGTTCAAACTTCAAACATTATGCCCCAGGCGTGCCAAAAGATGTTGTTGGAACTAGACTTGGTGAGAAATACTTGATTTCAGATCTGAATATGGTGACTTCTTAATCAAGTTCTTCCATAGTTGGCGACTATCCAATGAGTCTTGGACATTATTCCACGCAACATGTATAATCTAAACTTTTAAAATTTCTTTTTTATGCTCTGAGTTTGGATAAGGATCAGTTTTAGAACATATCTTTCTATATTATATAAATATGAAGTAGGGTTATGTACCCATTATAAATATGCACTTTGTGCATCCATTGTTTTTATACGTTATGATGTGATTGTTTTACCTTTTTTCGGTCAATATTATCCTCACCGTTTAAACCTTCTATCAATTTTAGAAGTGAAGCAACATTGGTGTGGTCTGAACTCTGAGACAGTCACAAGGTTTCATTTTGAGGATGAGGAAGCAACAGGGATCCACCTATGTCATACAATCTGAGTTTCTCTCCATCATTCTCATTCTACAATCAACTCTTCCAATCAGAAGAAGATCCTTCACTTCCCTTTCAGAAGGTCCTACAAGGTAATACATGTTTGTTTTCTCTTTCTTGTGATTCGAAACGTGTGTTATCTCTTTCTTGTGAATCGAAATTAGGTAAGAAACTAGGTGCCTGCCCTTTGAAATGGCCATTTACTAGATATGGATCCTCATCTCCCCTCCTTTTTTTGATGAAAGCTATTTTTGAAAAAATGTTTTACTAACTTCTACGATAGAAGGCATTGGGTCTAGCAGCCTGTTTCATATTCCATAGACTAAAACTGAGACTTAGACTAAGACTTTCCACTTTGAGACAAGTCAATGTCTAGAAACCTCTTTTCTTTAGGGAAAAACGGAATTTGGCTAACAATCAGATAGTCATATTGTGTAGTATGGAGTATTATCTATATATATTTTACTATACCTGACAGAATGAAATTGCTGTGTGTATTGGTTTGAGGAAATTGCGTTCTACGATAGAGGAATTGGAGAAAGAAAACATAGAACCAAAACCAACGACTAATCAAGGAGAGGTTAAATATTGTGTGTGGTTTTCTTAGGTCTCAATATGCTTATATTGATCTGAAATTGTATTCAAAACTTTAGCCCTAAATGTCAGGTAACTGCTTCCAGCCAAAAAAAACTGCATTTGAGGTTGATTTAGATTTTGAGCACAATATGAGGTTTACTTTTTAAAGTTTTCTGTTGTAAAGATAGTGCTACACATGTAATAAGTCATAAATCATTGTTTCTTGTGGATAATAGTTTATTTTACACTTCACTGATGTATGCTTAATGTCAATACAGGAGGAATATGTCTTTTTCTGATGACCAAAAGAAATAGGTGTGCACTATTTTTGCTTCATATTTACCTTACTATCTTCTCACTGACAATATATAAATAACTAACTGCACACGGTATAACTTCTCATTGCGATATGGTTACTACGTCTTTTTCCTTTCTTGTTTCACTGAGATAAATTTAACAAATAACATTAAATAAAATTATAAACAACTCATTGGAGGAATGTGTGTGTGTGTGTATATATATATATATATATATAGACACACACACACACACACACACCATGTTAGAATTTGAATTGCACTGTATGTTCGTATATACAAACTATAACCATTGCTTCATGTCATCCATTCACTTAAACAAACATTATGCTGAGTTATAAACACAAGCGGAACTAGACAGAAAATTTGCCCAACAAAGACATTGCTAAATTCTAATTAGGCACTAAAATTCGTGCACCGAATGGAACAACGCTACAAACATATGTCAACTTCAAGTGCATGCATTCACGCTGTACAGACGCTGCCAGTCCAAAACATATGCACTACTAAAGATAGCTCTAAAGTTTTTTGTATGACCCTCAAGTTGGACTATCTTTCTTCTTTTACTCATGAAATTAATATCATAACATTTCTCATGCTGTGCGTAGTAAATGATAAGTATACTCCCACTCATATTTCTTGTGCAGAGGCCAGATGCTTTTGTTGAAGCAAAGATTCTTGTGATAATAATTACTTTAACCAGTTTTCTTGATTAGATCTATTCTCATCCGAATATAATATGTTTCGAAGCCAAACCCTGTTTCTGTACCAAGCTTTTTCCACATTAAAAAACCAGACATATTATTTGTTAATGATTTTTACGCCGCAGGGGTAATCCATGCAAGACGTTATAATACAAAAAAGCAGGAGAAGATGACATGTTCAGGTACGATGAACTCCAACATAATCACCAACATCAAATAAAACTAGAATAACCTGGAAATGTCCCATTCATTTTGTATTAGTAACTGCCATATTCAAAAAAATTCAAATAACATTAATGAGTAAACAGAATTTAAAGGATACCAATAATTGCCTATTTACACCAATTATATTCACATTAACTCTAATTAAATGAAATGTCGGTTTATTATCGTTTGAAATTTGAATTTTCAAAATCAGGATTTTGATTGCTGCTTTTCAAATATCCTATCAGAAGTCAGAACCCTATAAAATCATACATTCAGAACTTAGTTCTTCCTTGCATATATACGAATCAACCTTCATACAATCTTAACACCCAATACTTTTACCATAAACTTCATGTTCCAATCTGTTTAGACTTGTGTAATTTAAACACCAGATTCTCCCTTCAAGCAAGGCAAGGCATTCTTGAAAAGCACAATCAGTGGTCATCAGAATTTTTCACTTCATGCGTTAAAGATTGCCGGCATTAGCAAACAAGGGAAACAAAAGTTGATTCATCAGGTATTATAGCATTCATTATACTTAAACACATATTATAATCAAATTAAATTAAATAGCATTTTCATTCAACATAAATCCTTTTTCTACCTTAAAGTTTAGGTTCTTAAGAGCAATAACAAATTAACAATACATACTGAACAGGGAATATATAACGTAACAAATAGTGATGATTAAAACTTTAGTTTCACGTATCTTTGTAACTCTAATCTAAAGATTTTAGGTCTTTGAGCTGGCACAAGTTCCGTTTGTTCGCGGTTTGGGCCTGGCTTTGAGTATGAAGCAATCATAAACATTCCAATACTGTCAATCAAATTTTTCATAGGAACAGAAAATTAGAACTACCAACATGAGTTCCTTTAATTGCATTTCTTAGAAAAATAATTCCACTGCATCACTCTCACAGTCAAGGTATTTCAATAATGTTTACAGGATTAATATTTACCGTCAGCTTTTTTTGTTGGAAACATCAGCATTTTTAGCTGTCACGAATTTCAAATCTTAAGTAACCTTCATAGAATATTAATCGCAAGTACTCTTCCCTTAAACTTCAGGTCTTATTCTATGTGCAGTATGTTATTTCAAACTCACCATATTTTGTAAACCAAACCAAAACATCCTTGACAAGACAAATCATGATAAGAAACGTATATTAAGGGCGTGGCACTAGAGTCACTCGTGCATGTGTCTTGAATAAATTATCATCATAGTTTGATCTTAACAAATTTTGAAGTTGTATTTAAAGTAAATGTGAGTACATGAAAATTTGTTTAGGAGAAAAAGAAAAATTGTAAATCGCGCAATCTTTATTGAATTAGAAAAATAATACAGTCCATTTTTTAGACAACATAAAAAGAAAAATAGGACGATTATCTGTTGTCGGGGAAAGTATTTATCACTCCCTATTCATCTGACTTGTGACTTGTGATACAACTTTGATGAACAATACATACACAACAATAAATTCCTTCCGTCACAAAAAAAAACTTCAAACCAAGACTATTTGTTTCTCATTTTTTCCCTGGTTGAACATATATTATCATTCGTCTCAAAAACCCACTCCTACATAATTATCCAATTTATACCATCACTACATAAATTCGGCATGCACAATATACAACTAAAGAAGAAACATTTTATAACTGGCTTTTAATTATGTGTTTTAAAATTACTTGAAGTGGACTTATCTATTACAAAACCTAAAATCCTTCTTTAGTTTCATATGTTTAAATTTAATCTATTTCTCTATTACACAGTATGATAGTAATTTAATTGTAACGTACTAAATTTCTCTTTTGCAACAAATTCTGTCTTAATTAATGATGCTTAATACTTACATCACCAAAACCAAACCAACAAACACGAAAAGCAAAACCGAAACCCTTACCTCAAATAACAACCAGACCAAGAACTAGACTCAAGGACTTTAACCCCTAAACCAGAATTAAAACCAAACACACCACCACACCTCTAACTAACAATATTCTTATCTTAATTTTATCCATGTCTAATATATATTTTAATAGGTCTCAACAGCCCACTGCTTGCTCCACATAATTAAACCTTATATTTTGTAACCCACAAATTTTGTCTTAATAAATCGTGCTTAATAATGCTGCCTTTTATTAATTACTGTAAAATTATATTTAAATATTTAAAAGTTTCAAAGTGTCTGAACTCCTTGTATGTGTACAAAAATGTAATATCTAATCATTGCACGCACAGAATAAGGGGGTGTTATTCCCACTACAAACATACAATGTTCAAACTACATTTATCAATTACAAAATATAATGTCCTAAATTATTAATTCTTGTGAACAATGTTTAACTTTCTCAATTCTCAAACACTTTTTCCATCTTAAGTTGTCAGGTAATACCTAGGTTCTAATTTGTCTCTTCCTTTATTTAATTCGGCCTCACTTAATTGTACTCCCAATTCTCAATGATGTAGATAAAACCAAATAAAAACGTCTATTTTAAGTTATTTGAGGCAGATTTAATACTATTCAACCGTAAGAGGAATATAAATCATCGCATCTCTTGGTCATTAAACAACAAAAAAACATAGAGGAACAAGTGTGGAGTGCGGGAGACTTGGGGGGGAGACAATATATACATTATTCAAAGAATTATTAACTTATTAACAACTTCGATGAACTTATAATT